TCCCCCTTCCCCCGCTCCCAGCAGATGGCAAAGCTTTGGATGAGCCCCAAGTGATGTCTCCTCAGTAGCGTCTGACTTGTGACCTACAGGACAATGGCATCACAAACTATCCAGAGACTTGATTGAGAAGCCACTCCAACATTTCCATAAGTCATTCTGCCATTGCAGATCTGTCACAGTTTTGTCATAAAGTTTGTAAAATTCTACTGACATTGTGTCATCTCAATAAACGCAATGGGGGAAAAATGAGTTGGGGCAGGTGCGAGCACAGATTTCAAGCTTAATGCGTGGGCTGTTGCATGTCTTCTGCCATAATCTAGGCTCTTGTACTTGATTTTTTTTCTGGAGCCGTGGTGAACTCTTCCATCCTTTGAAACAATCATTCTCACTTGATTAATTTAAGAAGCCAAAAAAAATTAAAATAACTTGGCTTCACTTTGCAAAAAGTTTCTCCTCTTCTCTGCCCCCTCCCTGTTCTGCATAAGTTAGCTTTAACAAGCAAAACAACCTAAAGCTAATATTAACTCTTGTGGTTATTGTATTGGATGCTTATTGCCAGGCTTTAAAGACATGCTTTAAAGACAATGTGTACTTGAGGAAGAAGAATGTTATAAGAAACATGTTGACAGAGCAAATGTTATCTGCATGGGTAGGAAGATATGCCTTTTGGGGATCTTCAGATGAATTGACCCAGGGAAGCATATGAAAAAGCTCCTATCATATTTTATAGTCTTCAATGCCAACCATAGATGGCCCATAGTCCTCCCATCACCTATGTAACATTCAGTAAAAGCTGATGCACTCATGCCTGCACATTGTTCAATGACATCTGATGTCTTATCAGTCAATGATTATCCAATGAATAGGTGAACACCCTGCTCTGTGAAACATTGTGCTGAATGTGATAATTAGGTGACATCTGTGATATTTGCTGTTTGATGAATACCATCCCAAGTACTGCAGTCATCAAGTGATGGGCATGCTTATAGAATCTTTGAGTGACTTTCCATTGAGATTGAAGAGATCTGGTTAGGTATTATAATCTTTCAATGTAATTTTTAGGCAACCAAATACAGGTTATAGCTGAAAGAAAAAAGTCAAATATAAGCAAAGAAATGCAATAAAAGGTAGGAGAAAGAGGTTTCAAAATTCTTAAAAAATATATCAAAAAGATAACATACAAACAAAAAACTTATAAATACAAAATTTACAAAATAAAAATATATTTACTGAATCCATAGTTCTTAAAAGAAACAATCTCAGTTACTGTCATGGGTGATTCTGAGTTGGGGTGCTTTCACTACAAATCTAGAGACATTAATCAGAATTGACATAATTGAACTTGACAGCAAGTATATAATTTTATGCCTCTCATTAAGGTTAGTTACAGGCTCTAAACATCTTACCAAGTATTTATCTTGGAAATTTATATCACTTACAATGTTACACATAAGGCACAGTATCCTCAACCAGTTGGTTTCCACAAATACAGAGCTGTTTTTCTCTGGGAATATTCTAATCAGAAATTCCTCAAACTCATAAATGTTGATGCTTATGTACAATATGTATAACTCTGGGTTTTCCTCATACTTTTTATTCTATTAATTGCATAAATACTCCATGTACTTTGTGACCATTTTCAGAACTATATTTACAGCATTCATTGATAGGCAAGTTCAAAGTGATTCCAGCAAGATGTTCATCAGTTCCCAGAAATTGTTCTACACTTTTCAGCCAAATGGTTCCCTAGAGGCCTAAGATTTCAAATTCTACTGAAAGAAGAAGAAAATTTGCTTAATTTCAGAAGCTATTACATAGAAAGCCAAACTATCAACAGTGTCAAAAGAGGTCCCATAGTCTATAGCAGTAAACATATACCTCCCCATGCACACACAGCACAATGGTTTGTGTCAAGAAAAGACCATTAATTTGCACAAGCTGTAGGAAAGGGTAAATCTGGTAAAGAACTAGCAAATGATTTTGTAATGCCTAAGGATAGAAAACTGGACATTTTGTTGGAATTATATTCATTCCATAGCTATCTAAAACCCAACATTTCATTGCATTTGTTGAAACCAGTATGTCTACTAAAACAACTTTGAAAGAATATTCAAAGTATTTTATATTTTTTTATATTCTCTAGTATATCTAATTTCAAACCATTTTCTACCAATTTATCTCCAAATTAGTCCAAGGGACAAATGGTAAAGATACACACTGACCATAAATAAAGCTGATTTCACTGCAGACGTCCATTCCTACCACTTCAGATCAGTACCCAAGAAAAAGCCTAATCAATATTTGCTAGCTTGGAAATTGAAGTGAAGAATTAAGAATAAAATATGAACAACCAAGAAAAGAAAATTTTGTACAGACATTTAGAGAGAATCCTGTATGTTCAGTCTCTCTATCTTTTGTTTAATTTTTGCCAAAGGCAAGTCAAGGGTTTGGATATAATAGAAAGCCATTGTGATAAACATATTTTCTCCGCAGAATGAAGCTAATTTATTCTAAATTGTCTCAGGTTTAACTGCATATGAACTTCCTGTTTTGCTTTATCTCTCATCTTCTACAAACTGTATTACACATTTTTTTTATCTAACTCCTTAGTACTGTGTCCCATTTGGATTTGGAAGCTCATAAGTAGTCATATGTTTTTGGTCTCTTCATGGAGTGATAATTGTGTAGTATGTGGTTTAAAATTTATGTTCCACTAGGTCAAAAAGCTAGAATTCCAGGTGACATACAGTGCTTTTGAATAGCATGAACCTGTACAAGTTTAACTCTTAAAATAATGCCACAGATCAATATAGTCCATTATTAATTTAACTTATTTCCCACTTAAAAACTTTTTAGTTGTGTCTAGCAACAGTACATTTATTAGAATTCAGCATAAAGTCATTTGGTACAGTGGAGTAGTTCAACTCCACTTTTGATCAAGTATGACACTGAGCATTAAAAATTCTGCAAAAACTACCAGTATTTCTGAAATGAAAGCAACCTCTAACTGGTGTTTTACTTTTAACAATTGTCTTTTTCTTTTTCTTTAACGAATTCTGTCCTCAGATCCACAGTATGCAACATAATGAATTCCAGATATCCTATTGCCAATCCAGCATTTTCAAGCTGGCAAAGACAACCTGAATATATTTCCTTTGAACGTTTTTTTTTAAAAGCAAATAAATAATAAACAATTAAGAATAGGGACTGGTGACATCTGTGAAATCAATCAGACTCAGCTGAGGAAAACGCAGAGTGTTCATTTGATCTCTAGGAAGACACTTATTTTCATCCACTTGCTTTTAAAAGTGCTATTTTGGCAATCTTTTCAAAAATCACCATGCAAATATATTCCAAAAATTTCTAATAATAATAATAATAATAATAATAATAATAATAATAATAATAATAATTTATTTCTATCCCACCCCTCTGCAGTGCAATCAGGGTGGCTTAAAACATCTAAAACTCCAGTAAAATACCTCCAACCCTCAAAACCCCACCCACCCCTTCTGTTTCTCTTTTTTTTAAAAAAAAAAAAAAAGCATAGTAGGGATTAGAACAGAGACCCAAAGCAGTTGCATCCAATGACAAGTTACAAAGTCTTTAGTGACTGTGCTTAGGTGTGCTGCAAAAAACAATTTCCTGAAAATACCTATGCTTCGAAGAGTTACTTTTTTGACTACTGCTCTCGGAATCCTGCAGCTAGTGAACTGTGGAAGCTATAATCCAAAATGTGTTTTTTCCAAGCTCTGTTTAAGATTAGTAGCGGGAAAATCTGGTGGTATTTCTTTTACCCACAATACATTTTTTTCAGGCTGGTTAAAAAACAAAACAAAAAACTGAACTATCCTAATCCAAGACCCTTTATTGAGAAGCACTGAACATTTGCCTTGTGAAAGAGTTTGCTCAAGATGCCTTGAGAATCATATCAACTTGTGCAGTCTCTCTTGCTCTCACTCTCATTCTTTGTTCTTGAGTTTTCTATGGCTCTATTTGGTCCTTGCTAGGTGTAAAAGGTCACAGCAGCTTTTGATTTCCAGTCCAATGTCCCAGCCACACACTTGGCCCAAATCCAGAGTAACACTTTTTATTTTTATTTTTATTTTTTTCAGTGAAAGGAGACCTTGCTGAGGCAGAAATGTTCAAGATGCACAAGGGAATCCAAATCTAGTTCCTTGCAAGGAATCACTGCATTTATAGAGTGTTTGCTGTTACATGGCTATAGCAGTTAAGTTTACATTCAGATACAACATTAAAGCATTCATTGGAGGAAAAGATTCTGCAGTCCTGTATGCCCTTAAATGGGGATAAATCCATTACAACACAGGAAAATTAATGTAGGGCCTTTACAGACTGCCAGAAATAGTGCAAATTGAGGCCACTTTAACTGTCCTGGCTCAGTGCTAGGGAATCATGGGAACTGTCCCAGAAAAAAATACAATTCCAATTATTCCCTAGCACTGATCCAGGACAGTTAAAGTGGACTCAATTTGCACTATTTCTGGCAATCTGCAAAGGCCGGTAATTGCAAAGAATGCAACCTAGCCCTGTCAAATGGCATATGAAGGAGAAGGTTCAATCCTGGTTTCAATCCTGGCCTCTCTAGTCAAAAAGGATCAGGGAGCAATGGATAGGAAAGAGCATTGCATAAGATCCTGGACAGCAAATTAATTCACTGGAGAAACTACTGAGCTAACAGTATGGAGAGTGTATCTGAGTATAACTATGGTATGTTTCCTGCCTCAGTGGGATTTACTTTTCTGCAGATATGTGATCCACAATATAGTCAGCATGATGACCTTCTATGTTTAAAGCCAATTTTTCTTTTAGTCTGGAAACCCATCTCCTGTGAGCTAATCAAACAAGCTACATCTCCATTGTAGTTGTGCACCTCAAGCCATTTCCAATTTATGGCAAACCTATAACAGGGATTTGCCTTTGCCATCTTCTGAGGCTGGGAGAATGTGACTTGCCCAAAATCACCCAGTGGGTTTTTATGCCTGAGCAGGGAACAGAACCCTGATCACTAGAATCATAATCCAATGCTCAAACCATTACACTATGCTGGCTCTCTGCATCTCTATAACTGTTCATAAAGACTAGTTATAAATGGGCAATGGAGTATCATTCCTGCCAATATTGTCTCTGTCTGCTCACAAAATGTATACAACCATTAAATTGTTACAATTATTAAACTGCAAAGCAATTAATTTATTAAAAGAAACACACAGGGCCTTACATAAAAGGAATACAAGTGTTTAATGACAGATTATAAAGTGGAAGATAGAAGGGAAGAAAGAGAGAGAGAAAAAAACAGAGAGAAAAAGACGCTTGCCTGTCTCAGGGGCTTTCTTCACAGCCTGTGATACTGATGCCTGACTTCGCCTTCATACAACCTGCAAGAACTAATAAATTCCTGGCTCCCCTGCCTGGGAGCCAAGGCCGATTAATATCTGCCTACCTTGTTACCTAATTCATTATGGAATAGCAGTTAATTTGATTTGATATTATTTTAATAAAATTCTGTAATATATTAGATTGTTTCAGGCTATCAAAATAATTTTCCAATTATTACGGTTACTCAAGCAAGTCTCTCTCTCTCTCTCTTTCTTTTTTCCCCCTTCATGAGCGGCAGTTGGTCTGACTCAGAATACATTAGCTCCTACAGCTTCATCCTGGCCAGAGGAATACCAAGTATATGCATGATTACACCAGCAACATTATTGCCAGTAATGAGAACCTGCAGATCAAGGGAAAGAGCCTATAGATTGATGGGCAATTATGGGCCCCCTGTGACGTCATGACATTGGCGATTACCCTTCATCTACAAATGCATTAACACTTCATCCAAAGGAGGGAGAAAAAGGAAACATCTTTCTTTTCTGATAACCTGAGATGAATGTGCCTGTAGTCACCCACTGGAGAACTGCCATAGAATAGACAGAATCATGAAAGGAAATCAAAGATTTTCTTCAACTCATTATATATGCCAAAACAAATTAGACTTTGTTTTTGGAGAGGGGAAGTTGGCTTGGGATAGTTGGTTGAGGAAGGAACTGTTCGCTTGAGACTTGGAGCTATTTTGCTCTTCTTCCCTGTGTAAGAGTCAGCGTAAAGTTAGGTTACAGGCAGAACTTGATCTAAATAGGAAAAGGCAGCCAAAGCAAACTCACAGGTGAACACAACTTCCAATCTATTTAAAGTTGGCACCATGTGTCACAAAATGTCTGACTTGTTACATGAGAGCACATTCATCATATGCTCCTGCATTTGGCATCGTACATGGAAGAGCATCACATTCAAGAAAATCATGGGACTTTTGTCAGGATTTCATGCTACCTCATCCTTTCCTTTGCATTCTCTGCCAGTAATGTATATCCAGTCTGATACATCAAGCATTATATGTCTTTCCCCTACATGAAAATATAATACAGCAATAAAAATAAACTCCCAACTTCTTCCCCTGTAAATATGACCATTCTAATGAGTTTCATTAGGGAGTCATGTCTATATTTATTTAGTTCTACTTATGACCGACCTTCTAAATTTATTTTTAATTTATTTTATTAATGTATTTAATTTGTCTTTCACTTTTCTCTTACAGTGGGACCCAAGGCAGCTTCCAAAGAGGATAAGTCTTAATAAAATTTAAAAACAATTAAAAATCACCACATCCAGTAATAGAAAATCATTTTATTTTTAATAAAATAAAATCACACAAAAATTCCCATGATGTAACAATGCTGTTGAAATAACTAGCAAATAAATATAACAAATAAAATAAATCTAATAAACAATCAGCACAGAGAACAAATAGTCAGTGGTATATATAGTTATGGTTATTATAGGGCCAAATTGTTGTTGACAGGCTTCCAATTGACTTTGACTTATGACAACCCTATGAATGGGAGACCTCCAAGTCATCCTGTCAACCCACCAGCCCTGTTCAGATCCTGCAGATTCAGAGTCATGGATTTCTTGATTGAGTCTATCCATCTATAATACTGCCTTCCTCTTTTCTTACTGCAGAGATTGCAGTAACCATCTTACCAACTATCATTGTCTTTTCTGGAGAGTAATTTCTTCTTATGATACTGCCAAAGCACAACTATCTTAATTTAGGGGGGATGCAGAGGGGCGGCCATGGGCAGCCCTGGGAAGAGGCGGATTGGGGCCAAGGCTGCCCCACGCCTCAGCCCCAATCCTCCCTTTCGCTGCCTGGGAAAGGAGCACTAAAATAGTGCTCCTTCCACAAACCATGAAAGGGGCACCTGAAGAGCTGCCATGCGGCTCTTTTGCTCCTCTTACGGCTCAGCATGTCCTGATGCTGAGCCAGAAGGATGTCATCGGAGTGCCTGCTGTGTGCAATGGCGGGCATTCCGATGATGTCCTTGGGAAGGGGCTGGGGCGCCCGGCATGTGGCTGTCCCTCCCTTTCCCTGCCTCCATGATGGCGCTTTGTGCTGTCTGCAGAGGCCCTTCTTAGCTTTTAGGGAGAGTTCAGGTTTGTTTTGCTCTTGGAATAATTTATTCCCCTTTTTAACAGTCCATAGTATCTGTAGAATTTGTCTACAGCACCATATTTCAAATTAGTTGATTTTCTTTCTATCAGTTTTCTTCACTGTCCTGTTTTCACAAACATACACAGAAATTGGAGATAAGATGGCATGGAGAATCCTAACTTTGGTACTCAGTTATATATGTCCAACTATAAACCTGCCGTTGCACTTTCTTCCTTGGCTTTCTTCTGTAATCATCTGTCTTCACTATTTTCTGCTAGTAGCATGGTATTATCTGCATATCTTCAATTGTTGATATTCCTTCTAACAATCTTCAAGCCTTTTCCAAGTCGAATCCTGCTTTATGAATTATGAATTCAGCATACAAGTTAAATAAATAGTGAGATAAAATGCAACCTTGCTCACAATTCCTTTGCAAACCATGCTATTTCTCCATATTCTGTCCTGATGGTAGCATCTTGTCCTAAGTAGAAGGATAGTCAAGACAATCAAATGTTATGGTATACCCAGTTCTTTAAGAGTGATCCATAGCTTTTAATGATCTACACAATCTATAAAGCACTAGCTGAATTTCTTCTGAAATTCTTTAGTGCACTCCATTATCCAACATATATTTGCAACATTATCCCTAGTGTCCCTTTCTTTCCTGAACTCAGCATGGACATCTGACATTTCTCACTCCATATATGGTAAAAGATTTTATTGCAAAAGTTTGGGAAATTAATGCAGTGGCCCTGTGGTTGCTGCAATCTCTGCTTTTCCCATTCTTTGGGACTAGAATGTATATTGAGTATTTCTAATCTGTGGGCCATTCTTTTGGTTTTCATATCTGTTGACAGATTATAGTAAGAATTAGAGTAGATTCTGTCTCTGTAGTTTGCAGCTGATCTAGTGGTATCCCATCTGTTCCTTGTGCTTTAATGTTCCCAAATGCTCTCAGTGCAGCTTTCGCTTGATTTTCTAAACTTGTAAGTTAATCTTCAAATGCCTCTTCCTTGAATGAATTGGTCATTCTTTCATCTTTTTTATATAGTTCTTCGGCATAATATTTCTATCATCTTTTCACTTCTACTTGGTCATGTAATGTGCTCCCCTGCTGGTTGTAAAGCATCCCCAATCTTGGTTTAAACTTCCCTTTGATTTATCAGATCTTGTGGAAGAGATTTCTTATTTTTCCTTTGTTGGTGTATTCCATTCTTCTTCTTTACCTTTACTCTCATTTTTTATATTAACAGTTCCTAATCTGAGCCATAATCTGCTCCTGATCTAGCTTTTGTAGAGAGACTGTAGCTTCTCCATCTGATGTTTCCAATAACATAGTTTGTTTGATTTCTATATGGGCCATCAGATGATATTCCTGTATACAGTGGCCTCTTGAGTTTCTTGAAGAATTTTTGCAAATGACAAATCATTGGCGTCACAACATACACTCTCCTGCTTTGTTTCTTGATCATTGGCCACATTTTCCTATGATCTTTGATGCTACTCTGTTTCTTACTTTTGCATTCCAATCACCTATAACAAGAAAACCTATTTTGATGTGTGGTCAATTACCTCCTGTACCCCAGCACAAAATCTTTCAGTTGCTTCTTCTTATGCCCCACTAGTTGGAACATAAACTTGGATTATGAATTTATTGATGGGTTTTCCCTTAAGCCTTATTGAAATTATTCATTCAGACTTTGCATTATATCCCTTAAGTACTTTGTTATACCTCTCCTGTCTATTAATGCCATCCCATTTCTTCTTAGATTTTCATTCCCCGAGTAAAACACTGTATAATTTTCAGACTCAAGATGTCCCATTCCTTTCCACATTATCTCATTCACCACAAGTATTGCAATGTCACCTGAGATGCCCCAGAAACTGACTGGGGTTGACTCTTACCTAAAAACTATCCATGGGACACATTCCTGAGTGTACTAGGTTAATTTGGAGGGCAGCTTGTGTTGCATACACAGTTCTGTTTCCCATCACAAAGGAGCAACCATGAAGTTCATGAGACCTAAACATTGCCACCACCACCCTCACTCATGTAATACCTGAGATGGTTGCCTCATTCTGCCTAATGTGAGCACCAGCCCCAGTCATTATGTGATATAACTATCCAATGTATTTCTGTTAGTGATGGAAATATGAGATGGCCTCTCTTCCCTTGTCGTCACCTTTCTAATAACAGTTGTTGTTGTTGTTGTTGTTGTTGTTGTTGTTGTTGTTGTGTGCCTTCAAGTCATTTTTGAGTTATGGCAATCCTAAGGCAAACTTCTCAATGGTTTTCCTCAGCAAAATTTGTTCAATAGGGATTTGCCATTGCCTTCCTCTGAGGTTGAGAGAGTGTGGCTTGCTCAATGTTACCTATTGGTTTCCATGGTCAAGCATGGATTTGAGCCCTGGTCTCCCATAGTCCTAGTCCAGAACTCAAACCACTATGTCACACTAGCTGAATAATATGTGTAGGATGGTACAACCTCAAAATTATAAATTGCCCTTAACAAAGAAAGCCATATTATTCATAAGCAGTACCCTACACCTATCACCTGTAACCTGTTG